ACTCAGTTAATCTTAGCCATAAAACAATCCAGCACTGAAGAACTGCACATCCATAAATCAATAGAGACTAACCTCTGATTTATTTCTTTTTGGGCCACATGTGCTACTTTCACCATAAAAGCAGATAAAGGTAACTATAATTAAAGTGCCTATTTCCTTCTCTACTATTTGTGTTAACATTCATGCTATTGAATATACCCCTTTCATAATACTATATTTTTTCAGTATTCTACAGTTATTGTTTCATTAAAAATACCCCTGTGATATTAACTGTATAATAAATTACAATTCAAAATAAAATATCAGCCATTTCATCCATGAGAGAGAATAATAAAGCCATAATAAAAAATAATAAAGTTTAGCAATGTGATAATGTAGCATGAGGTTTTTATAGACTCCATGTAAATGTTAAAATCTATAAATTTTTTATGTTGTGTAAAATTGTAAAAAAAATAGTAATGAAGGGGGTGGGGAGAGAAAAAAAAGCAGCATTAGCAGGCTGGTTTAATCCTGAAAATGCTGGTTTCCAATTTCTTTTTATAATTTGAAAAAGAGTGTATAGAAATTATGCATATGAAATTATTTGTTTGTGGCTTATCTTATTAACTACAGGTATTAAATTGAAAAAGGGAAACTGTGGGTTTCCACTTTACAGCCCATAGTATTGATAAGTGAGGAACCTTTAAAGCCTAATCATCTCTCTCCTTGCCTGCCTTTGTTCACACCTAGTATCCCTGTACATACTCTGCCCTTATTTTTCTAATTATGCTTTAAACAACTTCTTTATTTGGCTTCTTTTTATATATCTGGGTTGTAACTGAAGGTAAAAGGATGTGCAAATATGGGAAGGAGAGGACAGGACATGAATTCCTCCTTGCAATCATTTTCTTCTTGTGGCATCATCCTTCACACCACACTGGTGGGATATGAATTTAAAACCTTCATTTCTTGTAGGCTAACGACAATGTATTTAATTGTACTAGGCCAATACTTAATAATTCTTCTGACAGCAGATTGCACGAGGCATCTGCAATTTGATTTAAATAAAACTCTCTTAAATAATTTTTTATTTAAATAAAGGAGAAAGGAGGAAAGATATATCCAACACAGAGTATGGAATTCTAAAACAGGTTCAAAACAGGTACAAGTAATTATTGCTTTAAAACCCTGCCATTTTGGAAACTCAACACTGGTCAGCCTTGTTTTCTTGTATTGTGTTGGTCTAGATACAGCACAACAAAATGTACCTGATATCCCCTAGAACATGCTGACTTATAAAATATGGGGGTCACTTCTTGTCTTCTCATGATGGAGCTGCTTCCATTTCATTGACAGGTGGCTCGTCACTAACAAGGACATCATGCATTCTCCTTGCATAATCAAGGTTCTTGTTGGATTTCCAAAAAGGAGGAGAGGAAGTAGGGAGGAAATAAAGCTACACTGGCATAAAACAAGGAACTGACTGAGTGCTTGCACTTCTGAAACAAAATGTTTCTTTCTTCTGTAAACCTAAAACCTTGTTTTCATGTGTGGGTCTTAAAACAGCTGAGGGACTACACCTTCTCAGTGAGATCATTGCCCAGCCTTTGTTGTGGCCATCCTTGGCTCCTGGCTTGTTCTCTGTTGTGGAAGAATCTTGCTCTTGCTGCTCCCTGGCAGTTAGCTCAGACCTTCTCAGGCCCCGAGCTCAGTACCATGGAGCCTGGCCCTCCGACTAAGCCAGGGCTTGTCCCCACAGCCTCCTTGCAGCTACGTGTCATAAGACTTGACCCCATGGCTACCCTGCAGTTTCTGTTTTGACCCCAAACCCTGTAGGGAGCTGTGATCAGTATGCAAAGGCGGATCCGTAGGCTTCTCTAACCTCCTCTGCACCCATACTGACATCCCCTGCCCACCAACTCCTTTGGTCCCTTTTGGGACCATCTAGGCTTTGTTATGCTCCAGATCAGCAGCCCTCAAGGAGCGTCTCAAGGACAATCTGGTACGTGGGTTGATCCGCCCCTCTACCTCCACTGCCAGCGCTCCATATTTTTTGTTAAAAAGAAGGATGGGGGTGTCTGGCCCTTCACAGGAGCCTGCCAGCTTAGGGTGGCTTCAACCGGCCTGGGATCCACATGCCAGCGGCTGGGGTCCGCCAGGTACCCCAGGAACTCCACCCTGTGCTGTTGAAAAAGAGCAAATCTCTGGGGTTTGACATGGAGCCACCACTGCTGCAAGTGATTCAGGACTCCCCTGGCATAGTCTGTGTGCCTGCTGAGCACTGGAGAACATGAAGATGCCAAGAATACCACTACACAGTTATCAAGCAGGCTGTGCAGCACATCATTTACAAAACGATGGAAGGCTGTCAGAGCATAGACGAGACCAAATGGTATCACAAGACCCTCATAGTGTCTGCATCTGGTTCAGAAAGCAGTTTTCTGCTCATTCCCTTCTAGCATGCAGGGAGTGCAGAGTTTCTTAGAATTTGCCAGCTTCTTCTGATGATTCATGACAGGGTTTTCCAGTATCATCGCTCCTGTAACAGCACCTACTTGGAAGGGGCCTCACTTTCTATGGGCATAAGAAGCACACGCAGCTTCTGAGGAGCTGAAACAGGCATTGACAACAGCCTGCCTCACAGTCCTGCCCAGGCCTTGGCTGGCACTTCGTTGTGGAAGCAGATGGCTCTGGGCCATAGGGGCCGTATTCCTGGAGAACCTGACCCTATGTCTTTTTCTCTAGGCAGCTCACTCCCACTGAGAGGAACTATGACATCTGGGACAAGGAGCACCTGAAAATCAAAGCTGCCTCTGAGGAGTGGTAGCACGTTCTTGAGGTAGCAGAAGAACCAACAGTGGTGCTCACCTATCACCAGAACCGGGAATACAACTGAGGGATGAGTTGCTTCTCTCCCCACCTTGTCTGCCAGACTGCCCTCTCTCCATACATTGTTAACTGTCCATTCGTTACTAACTTTGATTTCCAATCCAAAAATCTGCCAGCCACACCAGCTGCCTCACACGTCCCTGCACCAAATGACTGTCAGAGCAGGCGGTTTGTTGTGCAACTGACAACACAGTTGCCGTTTCTACCACAATAAAGCAATCCCCTTTTCTCCATCTGTGTTCTCATTCTTGGGATGAGGAGTGAGGTGGATGGTGCCTGTGTCCATGGGCTCCTCCTCTGAGGATAGTAAGGAAGGTGGAGCAAAACACAGTGGTGCTCCTCCAAAGGTCTGCATATGCTCTTCCTGGCAAAGCCAGGTGCTTCTCCAGTGATGGGCCAAGTCTGACAGGCTGCCCCAGGCCCTGGGGTAGGCCAGTCCTAGCCATGTCATCTTGAGGGCCACAGACAGCCCTAAGACTTTAGAGGGCCATAAGGGCTCGCTCTTCACACGAAGTTTCCAGAGTCAACTCCACGAAATGAATTGTGTAGTTAGTGGTCAACTACTTCCCCTGCTGGAGCTCCAGCAAGACAGCCTTGGCCGCTGCACAGTTGTGGTCCCCCCAAAACTGCTCCAAATCAGTAACTCATCAGGTTTTGGAGTACAGGGCCATTGTCTTCTACGTGGTCATAAGCCACTCTCAGGTTGCCCCGAGAGCTGGGAGATTATTACTGCTGAGCTTCTAATGTCCCTTGGGACATACAGCCCCTGGATAGGCTGTGAAGATTAGCCACATCTAATTAATAAATCCTGATACCATTGCCCAGTCCCCACTGAATGGTTCTGGAAGATCATAGTACCATAGACTAATTTGGGATGGAAGGGACCTTTAAAGATCATCTAGTCCAACCCTCCTGCTGTGGGCAGGGACATCTTCCACTAGATCAGGTTGCTCAAGATGGGGAGCAAGAGATCTTGAAGCAGCCTGAAGTGCTGTGCCATGCCTCTACATGCTAACCATAGCTTCCCGCAGGAATTTGAGGTTAACCTGCAGCTGATGGGGAGCCTGAAGGCCAGGCTCCATGACAGTCAGCTCAGGGCTTGAGGTGGCCAGAGCCACCTGTCAGGAAGCAGCAAGACTGGGGCTGCTCTGCAAGGCATGACAGTCAAAAGCTGAAAGAGATCACATAATAGGACAGTGATCTCGCCCACCAGGGCACAGTACCCAAGCAGGGCAGCCTGGTGACAGTTACAGATTCTGTTGACAGTCCCAGCGATCACCAGGTAAATGTGAGATGGCAGGTCAAGTCCAAGTGCAACCCACAAAATCCAGTCAACAGGAGCTGCAGGGCTAGGCACGCACCTGCCAGCAACACAGCTCAGGAAAAGGCTGCAGGCCCAGGTTTGAGCGTAAATGAGCTCATGCTAGCAAGTGCACACTGGCATGTACCTTAGGCTCCAGGTTAACTCCAGTGCGACCTGGGGAGGAGAATGTAACATAAACTAAGCAACCACAGGAATTGGCTCCAACCATCTTGCACCTTCTAACTAGAGCTTAAAACCCAGGCCAAACATGTCTTGAAGGTGTTAATGTCAATGACCACAGCTTATTTTCACACTCTCCTTCCAGTCCTTTCTGTCACTCATTGCTATCCCTGTCCTGAAAAAGTTGCACAAAGATTTAGGAAAACTTTTAAGGGGTGGGGAAGGAGCACAAATGCAGGAACAGGCTAGAGAGATGATACATTCAGGCTTGCCGGTTCATCTGACATGAACAGAAATGTTGGAAAAAGGGACTGTGACACCACCTGCTCCCAATCCATAACAAATACGCATTATAGCATCCCAGCCTCCTGATTAAAGATAAGAACAGTTTGTTCATGGATTTTTGTTTGTTTTACTTTAAATAAAAGCTTTATACTGGGTTGCAGTCCTAAGCAATAGAAAGACTGGTGTCTCTATTGTGAAGTACTAAATGTGAAAATGCCTGAAACTATCTTAAACACAATTTGCAAAATTCAGACTACAAAATAATATTTCATAGATAAAAATGGATTTCAAAAAATGAGTAAATGGTATAGTTACTCAATCCATTTTCAGACTTTAAAATTCAACTGTATGGATTGTGTGTGCTATTGCAAACCAAACAGAACAATGAACTAATAAAGATGCACTAAAAAGAGAGGTAGGTAAAAAAAATCAGATATACCTTGCCCAAAACCACGTATTACACTCGAAAAATAAGTCAAATTACTGTCACATGTGCAGTCACCATACTAGGAGAAACGTATCCCCCAGCTACACTATTCAGAAAAGTTTACTGAAAAGTTACCACTAAAACAAGCAAAATAAAATGTCTTTATTGCCTGCTCCAGATTAACATTTTAAAAGTGTGCTGTCATTTAGAATGAAATGTTAAGTGAAAGGGATATCATTTAAGTCTCTACAAACCAGAAACTCTCAAAGTAAAATTACATCCTTATGCACTGCAGCTATCTGCATAGACATAGAATTTCATCACTAATGTTTTTGCCTGAGGTAGTCTGGTGTCCTTGGTTTTATTCTAGTCTCAGCTACCTCCTGCTCACACACCTGTACACTTGTTTATGACACCCAATGTGACAACATAACACAATTTAAGAAGTAGTGTAAAAGGTCAATCATTTTAAAACTATACCATTTATATCCCTAATGGTGTTTTAAACACGTGGTTGGTTGGACTGTGCAATTCTCTCCATACTTCAGCTGAGATAGCTCTTTCACTTAAGTTACTGATGAACATTTGAAACACCTAAAAAATAAAGCTGCACTTGTCTTATCTGTACAAATCCACATTTTGTAAACTGAAATCAGTCATATCGTATACAGTATTAAAGTAAAATGTGCAATGATATCCTAGTAAGTTACTGCCATTTAACTATACATTTTTCCAAGGCACAGTACACAAAAGAACTCCTACAATGGCAGATCAGCCTACCACATAAAAATTTCAAACTTCTAATAAGACAGTGGGACATGTTTTGCTCGTTCTTTGTATCAAGCAACATAAGGCAGCACAAGAAGCATAACAAGGAACTTCAGATGTCCCAGGTTCTTCATCATAGTCACAATGAATACTGGTCTCCCATACAAATTAGAGATACAAAGCTGTAAAATATAATATGGAAATATAATTTTATTGTATTAATCTGCATATGTATTGGTACAGCTGTTCTGTGAATGCTTCTGAGGAAAATTTTTCCATAACTCTGGCTCTCCCAGCTGCTCCCATTGTGTCCTTTAAGAGAGGATCTCTCACAATTTTTTCCATGGCCTCAGAGAATTGCATTGGCAGAGGATCACACAAAAATCCTGTAACATTATGCAAGATTGATTCTAAAGGACCGCCTGAATTAACTGCTATAACTGGACATCTCATATACATTGCCTCCAGAGGAACAATGCCAAAATGTTCATTGCTTGGCGTATAAAGCACACATACAGAGTTACTAAAAAGTGAGATCTTCTGTTCATCCGAGAACGATCTCAGAAAAGTGACATGGTCATTAACACTAAGCTTGGCTGCAAGTCTCCTCAGCTCTTCATAGTGCTCCACGTTCTCCAGGACTCTTTTATCATAACCACCTGCCATAACCAGGTGAACTTCATTCCACTCATGAGAATCAAGCCTTCCTTGAAGCTCGCACAAAGCTTCGAGTGCCAATGCTAGATTCTTTTTTCTCTCATACCTATTAATGGAAAGAAATAAGAACTTTTTCTTTTTTGGTATCAGGTCAGCTATATCCGCAGGAACTACTGTTTCAAAGCTACTGATGTTGAGCGACGGGTAGAGGATGTCTGGGTTTATGTGAGATAAAGACTTAAACGTGTCCTTGAACACACTGGCAGTGTACTTGCTGTTCACAACAATACAGTCTGCCATGCCAGTCGTGTATTCTTCCAGCCAGTCCAGCGGTAATCTGTAGATGCGCTTTAGGAGAGACTCTCTCTTGGTCAGAAGCTGATCAGGAAAGTGACAGTAAAACAAAACCTTCTTACGGGTTCTGGCCAGTCTAAGTACAGGAATGCAAGCAGACACCTAGGGCAACCAGCAGACAGGACAAGAGGAGACGTTTATTATTTGTGTTTAGTGTCGCTGGCCCATACACGTGATTTCAAAGCCATGCCCCGTGAGCCAGTCCTTTGCAAGCCAAATGCCTTCTCCCTCTCCCCTCCTCAAGCACATCAAGCCGCACTCCCTCGTCCAGGACCTCTTGCTGCGGCTCTAGATTTCCTCCCTCACCTCGGCCTGCCAGGCCGCCAAGACCCCCCACACCCACCCCTCGCCCCCC